TACCGTAAGCTCAGGGAGCTGCTGAGAATTTCCGCCCGTCGTCGTTGTTACCAAGGATCATTGTGCTCCTCTTCAACAAATTTTTCTCCCTCCCAGTCGACAACAAAGGTGTTTATGTAACATCAAAAGGTATGGTTGGTGAGTTTTTCATTCCCTTCCGTTCCTTCCTAGATGGTACTCACTTATGTCGCAGGAGCAAAACTCTTTTTACAAATACGATGACAGCAGCTTCAGAGAGAATATTCCGCTAGTAGCATGTTGAAGAACGTATGGATGCAATGCGTCATATTACACCTTTCTCCTTTAAACTTCTCGAAGCCCATTTTGAGGCAAGGGTTTGCAATTCCTTTTTGCTCGAGTTGAGCTGCACTATTATTCGGACGGCGAAGAAAAAAAAAGATTTTGTTCTCGAACTTCATCTCAAATGTTAGTATTATAGAATAAAAGGGAGCTTCAAGTATACTCAACATTGAGCGTAGAAACATTTGTAAGCGTTTAGAACGGATTTCATTATAAACAAAGCACGCGCATACATCAAGGACCCGAACCTGCACCACCGTTGCGCAGCCACAGCTTTGCTCGCTCGGTTCAGTCATCTGTTTAGTGCAGTGGAATAACTCAGGGGGAATCAATTCAGTAACGTTATTCCAAGAATCGTTTAGCAGATTCGAAACGCAGATTTCATCTTGAATGACTACTGCGGACAAATAGCCCTTGCCTTGCTAGAACCGAAACAGTTCATCAATCAGGTTTTGGAAACGTGAACATTGCAACTGCTCTGGGCATCCAAGCACCAGTGGGGAGTCTCGCAATTCACCGCGATTTCGACCTTGGTTTTGGTGGATCAGGCCGAAGTGGCGGACGAAGTTTCGGATTCGGTAACGGATACCAAAAACAAGTTGGTTCAGCTCCGTGGGCATGGCCCTAAGTAGTGTATGTACACAGTAATAAGAGAACTGTATGTTCTTCTCAATGCAGTAATGTTATTTCCCATGTGTTATGACTATTCCTTGAATTTGTTCGGACCTTCAGTAATACTATACTAACAATAAGTCGTGCTTCAGAAGCTCGCAAGTAGCTCGTAAGTCTCACTGCAGAGAAAGTGAATATCAAGAACCAGTCCACCCAATCGTATTTTAGTAAATCTCCATGTTTTTGCTACTCAGTTCATGATCCGTTCACTTTAATAAAATCCTATTAGTATCTGGTGAAATCATTAAACAAATTTTCGATTATGTCATTGTCACTTTTGTCACAAGACGACAAAACCCTTACCAAGAACAAAATCCTACTTCAACCAATACTTAGAATTAAGCTGCGTATCAGAGAATCGCACCGCTTTTATCTTTACTACAACCACCTTTTATCACAGACATCGAATGTAAGTAAAAACTGGACGTTTCACGTGTTAGCGGTGATGTCATAAAATCGAAATAATATTANGAAATTGGACAATACTTGTTGGGAAGCGTGAGCCACGCGTTGTGTAATCATTGACGCGGACTAGGCTACTAGAGCTTTCAGACTTGTGAGCAAAGTTGATCTGAAAGAAGCCACGAGTTCCCTACAACAAGCTCATAACCTTTCTATTCAAAAATGGATCACCAAAAAGATATTTTTGAACATTTCCTGAGTTAGCTTCTTTCGCTGGCGACCACTACCTACCGAAAGTCGTCATAAAACTTGCGCCATTTGTTCAAACAACCATATGGCCATTCCGGCATCTCCGGAGTTTCATATTAATGCGCCGCGAACAATCATAAAATAGTCCGCTCGGATTCAACTCGAAGTAGCGCACAACTTCGTTGTGGTGAAAAATCACTCAACGCTGTGGCTCACACTGTTTGACAATCCGTAGGCTATACAACGTTGGAAACACAGTCTGAGAAAAAGCATAATGCACCACATGGAGAAAAAGGCGAGGAGGAATAGTAAACGTGAACAACTGTAGCATAAATTTTTGAAAAGGGCTGTAGCTCCATCTAACTTTAAGTAGAGCAACTAAAAAGGGTATAGGACAGCTTTCTCTAGCTATTGATTAGAATAAGATCTATACTTATATAGGATTGAACACCCAGTTACCACCGATTACTATATGTTGCTTTAGCACCATTTAGGGTTACAGACTACGCACATTCGAGATGGATATAGAATTCGCTCAATTACAAAATACATACATGGACAGATAAATAAGTTGCTTAGAGAAATGTCNGAGTAAGATCCTACAATGCTGTGGATATAACCGATGAAACACCATGAACCATCAGCGTCGGTGGAAGTGCATCTGTCAGACGGCGAATTTGATCCAGATACCTGTTATGTGTAGGAAATTCTGTTGTCACAGCTAATTCGCATGTGCTTCAACAGTGCTCCAGTATAAATCTGGTAAAAAAAGGAAATTCAAACCTTTCAGCATCTCGATTCGCGTCATCAGGAGGAAGCGGCAAATTCAGAAGCGTTATTGCTGCCTCCTCACTATACCGCTTGATCATCTCGTTGAAGGCAGTAAGATAAGGCGCAGGGAGATCAATTGATGGTCTAAACTATTATTAATTACGCACAGTTTGAAGGAAGAAAGCGCCAAGCTATCTACACTTCATAAAGTTCAAAAATTGCTTTACATAGTTTTGTCAACTCACTCCATAATCAATAATTGCACTTTTGCTGCGAAGGAAGGCTTACCTTTGGGCCGTTATTGAGGGCCCATTCTGTGGGAAATGACAGACTACATGATCCCATGGTACAACGACCGACTCTGCCTTGATACGTAATGTATCCAACATTTGCTTCAACTGCCGATCCCGACGATGCATATCCTAAATCGACTTCTTAAACAATACTTCCAAACATGCACGCAGGTTTGACTGATATCGGTTGCAGTAGGGCCTGATTTGACCGGTGCCATAACATTCCATCAGTTTGAATGCAATGATACTAGGGAAGCATGTTACGTTTTCAAGAAATTGACCAATTATCGGCTGATCGAATTCAATACAGATGAATAAGTGTCACCATCCCAACACCTCTACTACACATTGGTTCGAACGCTCTGGGGCTGAATAGATGTTTTGCATCAATATTCGATAACACATCGCGAACAATGTTAGTCAAGTAATAATCTCTGTTCCAAGTCACTTACTTATTTGAACGTTTTTTGACAAACGATATATCCTACTAGATGGAGTTCGCTAAGCCTCTGTTGGTGTATGTGTGAATGTGTGCGTGTGTATAGTGTGGGTACAGTGTGTGTGTGGTGTGTGTGCAGTGTGTGTGTTTCACCGTAAATTCCTAACTCCTGTTTCCGTGGGCCTATAGCGTTGAAAACAGGTAGGAGTACGATGGGAACACTTATAGCAGCTAGCAGGGCTAGACCCCTCCGACAGGGGCGGGAAGAATTGTCAATGTGAACCTAGAGCCTCACAAGGTTGGTGATTTATGGACAAAACTTCAGTCTCGGACGGGACTAGGAACCGTACCTGCGCTTCCCGGGCACAGTGCGCTATCCCTTACGCTACCGGGACCCCGTTTGCCCCCCTCGCCTTCTTAATGGCTTATATGCCATAGCTTATCGGCACTCACACGTACGTGTTGAGCCGGTCGGCCATTAACAGCACTGAAACATCCCCAGAACCATCACTAGTAACATTATTGGGTACCGCCCAAGGCTTTGGTTGCCTATTAGTTGAACCTTTGATGGGTATTTATTTTTAAGAAAGGGAGCAAAAGACCAAGTATTCCTATTAAAGGCGTAAGCACAAATTACTCTGAATATCATTTGCACTACCCTGTCAGTTCTGTGTCAAAATTCGTGTACAGAAAAATACTTGTATCAGTGAAGGAGGAGTTAGCCGATAACTACAACTTTTCGAAGAAGGAGGGAAGCCTGGCCTAAGCCAAGCGAGCCGGCTGGTAATTTCGAAATTCAATGGTAACAATTTCGAGATTGAACACATCGTGACTTATTAGTAAAGAGTTTCTGATAAGTGAAAACAACTTTTCTATTTAATGAGCTCAAAGAATTAGGCAGGAGATCCAAAACACTATCCAAAAAATCTGACCATTCATTTTGAACCCGCTAAGCACTGACAGTGATCCCGCTCTCATCATCCCGCTCTAATGATGGAACAGACATTGAGAATTACGGGTGTGGTGCGTTAGGAACGAAATGGTCGCGTCGCGGTGAGAGGGGTGTCGCGCGCGAAGGAATGTAGCAGGATGCAGCAATGGGTAAGAAATACAAGAACAAAAGTACTAACAGTAGAATTATGCGTAAAATAATGATCGCATATCGATTGAGCTGTATGAAGAACGCTAGAACTGTAATAACGGCGAAAGACGCGACAGCCGCCGACAGCGTGCGGCAAATCGATTACCTAAAATCGTTCCTAACGCCCGTCTCCCGAGAATTACTCCTACCTGCAAACTATTAACGCATATGAACACTCTTAGGCGTGCATGGGATCTCCACCGAGATGACATGGAGAGAATACACGCCAGTTGAAGCAAAAACAAGGAACTGAAAAGAGATTGATGATATGAGATGTGGGTTCTTCGATGATTAGAAATGACAAACCTGTTGTCCCATCCTAGCCCTGTTTCAACGGGTCTTTGCAAATCTACAGGCCAAACGTCAATGTATCGCCTTTGATTCCAAGTCTGAGAAAGAGATTCCTGAAAAGGAGAGGCAGTTGTACAACCAAAAATATGTCATTTGATGTGAAATCTCACGCTGGAATATTTTCACATGATAGCAGTCCTAGTGGAACCTATGCACTCCTCATTTCTCGGTGAAAAATTCTCTTCAATTATTCCCTCTGACTATACGTTCTTGGGATAGACGTTTTGCACCTTGCATTTTCACATTGGTAAACAATCGCAAACTTTACCGCCATGGTCGGGTCTCTACTAAGAGTTCTATGGGCTGAGACTATCCTTTCCCCGTCAGATATAAAAATCACATCGAATTTGTTATGACCAATATTCGCTGCAAAGCATGAACAAAAACAAGTAAATTTTTTGTGCTAGCTAACCTTATCCATTTTATGAAAGTGTCTTGCAACGCACAAACTTTTTGTCATATGCAGAACATCCTTCAAAACATTGACATATTCGGATGACGAAAGTCGCTCCATATTACCATTCAGTTCCTGGAAGGTGGGACTTCAGATTAGCATATTGATCACGATCAAGAAGAAAATGGATGAAGTTATTTCCGAACGAGCTGGAAACGGCAAATGTGTTCAGGGAGTGAGTTTGCGTCGTGAGTGTTAGCCGATGAGTTTTTTAAAAGTCTCCCTCTCCTGTTTGAAGTGCAGAATACAACATTGGGGAGGCAGTACACTTACCTTAGGCATGAAATCACCCGCAGTGAAGTATTCGACCACAGCAGCTCGATCAATTTTTGAGTATCGCAAATCCTTCAAAAGTTGTGACTCCTGAAAGACAATACCTCAGTGGCGCCTCTGAAGGAAACATCAAGACATCACCGTTATTTTTAACCCTCAGTTGCTTCATGATCTCTACGCAAGGTGAACAAATCTGAGCCTTTGAGAATACCAAAGCCGGCTAATTTCCTACTAAAATACACTGACGGACCAACGTGCTCTGATAGCGATGGTGTAAGGAATTTTATCAGAATTTCGAAAACAATTGAACTGCTACAGCAACAAAGAGACACTGATTCAGATCTACTCACTTCTCTTCCAAGAGATTAATGAGTGCACAACCTCTATTGTCCACAAAGGCTATTAAGAAAACTATCCACCTGTAGCGCCACATCGATTGGTGTGGCTTCATGGAATCCTAAAACCACTGTGTTCGGCTTCATAGCGCCTAATCCAGAGAGCCGCATTAACTAAAATGAGAAAACTGTTTGATTCAGTGCGTCTAATTATAAGGCATAACAACTCAATGACACTAACCTGTTGAATGCCTTCTCGAATACTATTTGAAAGGGTGAGCTCGACAAAAGCCTTCAGTTTCAGGTAATCCACCAGAGATAACCAATAAGGGAACACCTTCAGCATTAAGAGATGTCAAAAAACCATTTCAATGACAACATGTAAAACTAAACGCACCTGCTGAAGTGGATCAACAGCTTTACTTGAATCTAGCACGCCTTTTCGCACATGACCGACAACGTAGAGTCCAGATTTTTTGAGATCATTGACAAAATCCATCAATGGACACGAAGATGATGGCCTCGAAACAAGAAGCAGGATCTGTGGGCGCCAATATCTACAATCAGTAAACGTATTATTCATCTTTCATATGAAAGGAAGTGTTGCACACGTACTTCACATGCTCCTTGCGGACATCTAATAGCAAGAGATACTTCCTGACTTGGTGGTAAATAAGAGCTTGTGAAATTGAACCTGACGATACTGTAGGAGCCTGATAAACCAACATATACGCAAGTTTGAAATTTGAGTAAAAGAGCTTCACTAATCGAAGAAAAATTTGATGAAACACAGGCATCGTTATTAAATGGAAAAACTTACTTGGTAGTGCAGCACCATGATAAGTGACATCAGCGCTACAACACCTATGGCGCTCATCGATGCATCCACTACCAACATCATCGTTGTGGTGCAAACCACGCCGAGAGCGCATGTCCACCACGCAAAATATTTGAATGTAGGCCTACAAAATATGCGGTGATCTTGTACGAGTCGGTTACACAAAAAAGGTTATCGATGAAGTTCATGCAATCTCCTCAAAGATGTTGAGGAACGGAAAAAATCGAGCAAGCATGATTCATTTTTCTTTTTTTACGAGTATGAACCTCGAACTTTAGAAGCCTGAGATGTAATCTAAACTGATGACATGGTTTTCAGTGGTCAGGTGATGGCTGTTCTGCGACAAGAGGAACAAAGAAAGTAAGTGTTAGTGTTGGCATGTTATGCTGTTATTAACTGTTATGAGTCTGGAAAGCAGTTAGTGCTTCGATGTGCTTGAACGAAATCTCCGACACTGATTAGGGAAAAAGTACCTGAAATTCGGAGCGCTAGTTAGCTCGAGAGCGAGACAAGCAATATTTACTCCCATGTACGAAAGAAGGAAGAATATAGATGTCAGCTTGGCGATTTTGTTCATGGCTCCAACCAAGAAGACGCCCTTAAAAGTAAAGCTGATCACTGAGAAACATGGAGCACTGAGCAGAGACAACACTGTCACAGCGAAACCAGCCACAGCATATCAAGTGGTCCTAATATAAGCACCCTCAGCGCAGCACCACTTCTTGCGTTTTGTCAGTATTTAACAGAGTGAAAGTCGAAACGACATAGTTTGCTATGCATTCGCATTGTACTGATTCTTCTATCTGTCATCCCTCCTTGCGAATCTGAATGCGAAAAAAGACTGCATGCGAAAAGAAGTAAGGGAAAAGCACTTTCCCAAGAATAAATGTCAAGGATAAATGTCGTCCCATCGGATGGTAGCAAAGTGACAAAAGTGGTACTGCGGCTGGTTGTTTCAGACCAACCAGGGATCGCATGTAGGAGACTCAGCTCAAACGCAGCGACTGTCATCCTCTTGACCCTTGATCGAAAGATGTGAAATGAATGAAAATGACCGACCACAACACAAAGCCATGTTATGATGACCGATACCACAGGATTCCGGTCCCCAATCTCAATTTTCGCAGGCCTCAGTAGACACCCAAAAAGCTTGTCATGCGAGAGACGGTTCAGAACTCTTGATGATCCTGAAAACATTAATAGGTTCATTCTAATAATGCTTACTACAACATATAGTCTTAAAGTGTTCTGGCACTGATCAATCCTGTTCCTGGTATGCACAACCGCATTTTACTTCTGTTCAGGAAGGTGGTAGTGCTTTGGATGCGTATTTGGCCTCTCCAATGATTTGCAGTACCAGGAAATACACAAGTAAGTTTATTTATCCACTCAGACGAGTCTGGTACCACTTAGTAGGTCTCGGAGTGATGGAAGGTTGGTTGGCTTGGGCAGTGTTCATCGGGATACGATCTCCAGACCATGTCTGCGACAGTGTGCACCACTTCCCACTACACCATCTATATCTTTTCTACCACATACTAATATGAATTCCACATAAAGTAATTTACGTGTTGAAAGTTCATATGGCACGTACGATCAAAAATGCTGGCAAAGGGATCTAATGATGGTAAGCAGACATTCCTAACATGTTGCATACTTCTTGATAACGCAAGTTTTGCAGTGGTGTTCTGAGCCCTCCTCAATTGCTCGCACAGCATCCCTGGCACTAGAAGAAGCATACATTGCAGAACGTCGCTCCAAAACATTATCATAGCTTTTGTAGTACGATAGCTGGGGTGACTTAGGTGGAAGAGTGCTGTCGTTAGATGAATGAGTTTTTCGATCTCTCCTGAATCACTAGAGTGGTTGGATACAACATGTTTCCGAACGGGAAGAAACCCTAACGCGGGACGGTCAAAAATATAATGAAGCTTCGGCGCGCACGTTTCTTAGGTCAGAACTTTGAGATCTCCCGACTTTGAGTCAACTAGAACAAAAAGTGGAGGTTCGCGCGCAACTCCTCGATCAATGATAAAAACTGTAGCATCCTCGTTCAAAAAATGGAGCTTTCAACAACGATATCTCAAGCTTGTTTGCCGATGAGAAAATCGAAATCAAGATGTATACTTCCGCTGGGCCTTCAATATTTGCTGAGCCAATCACTCCTCCTACACCTGAGCATCTACATTGCGGATTGGAAATGGGAAATAAGAGTTGCTTTATACAATTCTTACTGGTTGAGACAATCACTCCTCCTATACCTTATCCCATTTTATCTGATCCTATCTATGTCATGAATTTTCTGAAGCACTAATTCTTGAACTTGGAGCAGATCATTTCCTGGAGAGTGTTTATATTTAAAAAATGATCATGAGACCGACGTTTGCTCTGGCATTGGGCAACCAAAAAGTTATGAAGAAAAAGTTCAGCTTAGTTTGAGCTGAACTTTCTCTTCATAACTTTCTGTTTGTCCCCATAGCATAGCAAACGGTTCACCGGGTAATCACGCTGTGCCTGTCAAATCTGATAAGTTATGATTATGATGCCACTGAAAAGTAAGGAGCACGCAGTCATCGTAATTTAAGGGGCGCTTAACCGGAAAAGAGCAAGTAGAATTCGAGCGCTAGCCAAACTTTTCCATGAACTTGGCTAAATTGCGATGCAATGCGAACTGCGAATAGTAGAACAGAATACATCAGGTTGAATTAAATCTGAGAGGGAAAATAATTGGTTGCAAATAAAAATAATTCTAAAGAAAAAAACAAACCTATCAGATTACTCATTGATGAAAACAAAGTAGTCGAAAAGATTCCAATGAGAATGAACCACCTTTGGAAATTCGTATCCATCATTACCTTAAAACCAAAACATACTTGTTTTGTCTGCGAAAGAAGGTAAGATTAGAGGGTGATCTATTTTACCTACAGTGTAATCGTTCTGAAGAAGAAACCTGCTTGATGTTGCAGCCATTAAAAACGCCGTCATAATATAGACAAACAATGTGACAAGGACCGCTTGAACAGTGCCTCGAGGAATTGAAACGGAAGGACGAGCCAACTCACCCGACATGTTAGCGCCGGCCATCAGACCTTAACAAGAAACTCAACAGCGAATTTACTCATAGTTACCGTTTGCTCAGTATAATCTATTCCGTTTAACATGGTCCATGTTATTCCCTCGAATCAAAAGTTTACCATCGTAGTTGAAGAGAGGTGTAAAGAAGATCCTAAGGAGACCAAGGTGTACTCACCAGTGACGCCCGAGAAAATAATGGCGAACATCAGTGCAAAATCTGTCTGCCGTTCAGTCGTATAATCCATGGTGTAATTTGTGAACATATTTTCACCAAGCGTACGAAAACTAAAAAGCGCTATTCACTTTTCAGCTCATAAACCGAAATTTCGAAATCAACGCTGGAAACATCAATAAAAGCCCCACGCATACCTAAATCCAGTATAATTGGCGGTTAGAGTCTGATTTAACTGCACTACCATAGGACTTTCGGGATCGGAGGCGTTTTCATGTACGCGATAAGCAGGAGTATTCACTTTCGGTATGGGCACTTGCATAGGCCCATCAAACATTACTGAGAATAGCCAAGTGGAGTAGCATATCTTGAAAATATGACAAGTTTACGGACAAATCAACATGGAACAAAATGCGTTCTGTACTCATAGACTCACCGAGATTAGAATAAAAGTAAACAACGCTGTTTTGGCAAACATGCCTGCCCCAAGTAAGCCAATAATAAGAAGAACAATTGAAACCAACACACAGTATAAAAATCGCCACATGGGTGAGTCAGGAAATTCTGTGAAAAATAAAAGTAACAATTTTCACAAACAGGTTTTTGACCTCTTATGAGGGGAACCCTCACAAATAAAGCAAATTGACTCAAAAACTTACGGCCTCCACCTAGATTGTTCAGAAGTGCCTCAGTGAATCCTGATATGTAAAGAGCGCAGGAGAAGACGTTAGCTACGAAAAACAAAACGCCAATAGCACCACCAAATTCAGGACCCAGCGATCTGCTTATCATGTCTACAAAAAGAAGAAAGTAGGGTGAAAACGTGAAAGCACAATGTAAAAAAGATTGACTGACAGTAAACGCCTCCGCTTTCCACAGCTCCATTCGATGATATTGCGCACAGAGATAAAACAGTCAACATTACAATACCGTAGGCCATTGCTAGCTGAACAACCGTCATAAGGAACCCGAGCTGCCCCACGACAAATCCTGTAAAAGCTTCTTCAAATTTATATTGTCTAGTTCGCAGCGATAAAATCCTCTTCGTCTCTTTCTATCAAATACATTCGTTAGGAATAGATGAGCAGTCCCTAAAAGTACATTCCACGAATAAGGGATTAGAGTGTTTCTCTCAATGTGCTATAGCACTGTTGCTTCAAATTCGCAACTAGAAGCTGAAGTGAAAAGGGATCATGCAAAGTATAAACTCTGAAATTAACCCGTTGGTGTTATGTGATTCTCATATTTACTCTTTCATCAACCTTGGTTAGGCCAACAAAGAGATCGAAGGTGATGGTCATAAAATGATTCGGTTCATTGCAAACATACGCCAAATTTATAGCAGCGAAAATACTATGACGATTACACTTATGGGAAGTCCATACAGTTCTCTTCTTCGGCTGTACCTTACGCAAAATCGAAATTACCATTAGAGAAACATTATTTTGCTCTCTTCAGTTCCCTTTACTAATTCATCACCTGCTTCGAACTTCTATGCTGCAGAACTGAACGGCTCATGCTTGTTCAGCAATTAAGATCATAAGATGCTGCTTAAAAGTTCGAAGCACTAGCATTACATCTAATCGCAGATACATCAAATGTTCAAGAAAAGACCCACCCATTCTCATGAAAAGCAAGATACTGAACATTGATAGTGCCACGGGAGCGAATACGCCGGATATGGTTGAAAGGCCATTTGGCCTCGTTTGTGAGAACTCAATATCTGAAAATAGTACGTGAAGACATATTGGAACGTACTGTTGGTCGTCATCTGGAAAGCAATTTATCTGCGCGTCTCAATTCAGTGGACAATAACATACTTGGAGAGGTATCCTAGCGTAAAGGATGAAAGGAAAAGTTTTTGGCTTTCAATCTCGTTTTGGGATGCATCCAACATTCGACTTCCAAAGAGGATCGTAGTAGCTAGCGATTTGAATGTGTATGTTGTCTCTTGACCAATCAGCCGACCCCGACGTGATAAAGGGCTCGGTTGGTCTGAGCGGTGTCGAATCGGGATAGGAGTCTTGTGAAAATATACAATGAAATCAATGTCGAAGTGGAATACACTGCCTAAATCCTTAAATGTCATCGATAACCGTTGGAGGGGGGTAGAGAAATACGAACATGAAGAGTTGATTCATCATGATCTTTACAGCTTAATTACTCTTTGTTTCATTTTCCTCAAGAACTGAGCGACCTCATGCCATTTATGCATAGTCGAACAAAAGAACCCAGCAAATAAAAAAAGGCAAATACGATCAACGAACTCACTCGGAGATGCTTCACCACCATTTGGCACGATGTTGCGACCAGATGAATCATCGTCTGAAAACAAAGCCAAAAATTTCTGAACTCCTGCAAATGAGAAGCCGTGACAAAACTTAATTAAATGCTTACCCAGATGATTTTCACCAGATGAAGGCATCACATGACGAGATGCTAATTCATTATCTATGGTATTCATGGTATCATTATTTTGTATTGACTGCCAAAGCTATTACACAGAGCGGACTCCAGCTATGCTTAACACTTAGAGATCATGGCGAGTCGTGGAAGCATTTTTTGAAAGACATCGGGAAGCAGTATATGTATGTGGTAAATACAAATGCAAAGGCAATGGCAATAGGCAATATGCAGAGGACAGTCAACAATATATGGAAACTCTGCAGAATGTGACAGAATGAAAAATGTGGTATATGGTATGGATTTACTCTTTACTACTACGCTGGCATGTCTTGAATGAATCTGTCTTGTGTAGTTACTTTTGATCGATGTTTTCCGCTCACGCATTACATTATGTACGTTTATGGATTAGTAAGCTGCTAACTAAGAACTTAAGGGTACACAGAATATTACTTCCAATCGACAGTCTTGCCTGCTGAGATCGAAGGCGGGAACAGACAGGAAACAGCAAACTGGTAAGCATCAAATCATCCAGCCGTAACTCAGATGAAATGTTCAAAAGATAGGAAGACCATCGACAGCTGTAACTACGAAAAATCGAAGACCTAAGGCCATTTTCGCATTGAAGCATATGTTGCGAACATGCGTAGAAGGTTCTACGCAAACAACTGATAAAGATAAGCACTCGGGCAGTGTGGGTCATGAAAAAAGTGGGAAATCGAGAGACGCCTATTCAGAAAACGCTGCTTAGTTACAAAATAACTTTGCTATATACATAGGTGCTCCATAAGTGTGTAGTAACAAGAGCATTCACTTATCACTAAAACAGCTTGAACAATCATCGTTTTTATCCTACTCTAGGGTCTCACAATCAAACGAAGTTTTTCGATAAAGCAAAGTCACGCAAATTGATTATCACTGAATTTGTCACCACTGCTTTACCATTTCAGATGCTCACAAGAACGATAACAGGCTCAATCAATTGTGATGGCACTGTTTAGGAAAGGAATGAAACGAAACTCCAAACTCAAGAGGAAGAACGCTAGGCTGAAAGTTCCACGGGATTGCCTTCCTGGATACATTTGCGAATCAAGATGTTCGGTTAATTATATGCCTGGAAGACAGCAACCTGCCCTCACACTTAAACGACTGATTTCATGTGTCAGCAAAAGATACAGCATTGTAGAAATACTAAAAAGTGTTTACGATGATGTATCGTACTATATGCATAAACCAAAGTTCACTGCAGGAAAGGGAACCCTCAAGCATTTATGTTCTGCCCAGCTGTAGCCACTTGCCTTTCAGCAAACAGATTGGATGCTGATACTTTCGAAACAGTAGCTAACACATGCTTCTCCATTTGTACTCTGCGTTAATACAAGCTTTTAAAGAGATTGCGGGCCGACGGCAGCCTCAACTATATAAGAGAAGCGCACTGCAAGGCGTTCGGCTTTCCACGGCTGGAAAAGGTCACTCTGCGAGCTAATGCAAGATGTAACGATTTATAATGAATCACATTTACTCCTGACTCGATCAATTTGATCCCTTCTATAGCAACAAACGTCCCAAATTAGCCAAACTCTGGTTCAGTACACGGCCATTCGTAATTCAAATCGATATGGTTCAGTAGTAGTGAATCGTTATCGATTCTTGAATCTGAGTCTCAGTATACCTTTTCCTATCATCGAAAGTTTCAAAAAGTGGAAGCTAAGGAGAGGAGTATGTCACGAATACACGGCTAAGATGAACGCTCCTATTAGGCGCGGCAATGTAAATTTGTGACGAACACACGCACATACAAACATTCACATGAACAAACAGACTGAGCCGATTATGGTCTGCTAGGTACCCAAAATTATGTGACAAAAAAGGATAGAGCCATAATGTTAGAAGAAAAAAGTGGTGACGATAATACACATCAGTTCAGCTCTACTAGTTGAGCAGAACATGAAAGAAAAAAGTTCACATCCACTACTCACTCTGTAACATCAAATAATCATTGTTGCTGTGAATTAGGCTGCTAGCCCTTAGCCCCACAACATTGACAAGCTTTCTAAAAAGTTTGACACATAGATCGAATCTCCATCTTATGATATACGGGATCGATGACGACTTATAAATGTTTAAGAAATGTGTTTGGTGACTGACAGAATTGCATGAAAGTAACATTTACTTGTGGTTGTGCGAGATTGTTACCAGTCTGCTAAATCAGTGGTAGCAGAACAAAGATAAAATCCTAAATTCACTCAAAACTTTTTGAAACTGTCTAGGAAAGATAAGAGATCATCGCTCTTGCGGGAACTCCTTGGTGCATCTATACTCTTTGCTGTACAATGGGCGGAGAATAGCGGGCGAAAGGTGGCGGACGTCTACTCTAGCGAAATATCACGTAATCGATATTAAAAAGGGACGAAGTAGCATTCAATAAAAAGCAGGATCGTATTCAAGTTAAACTATCTGGGAATTAACGTAAAAGATGCAACCGGTAGAGTAAAAGAAAGAACAAGCATGCTTGACTTTGGCGAGCTTGAAAGCGTGAAATCCAAGCATGAACAATATGGTACCGATTAAATGATACAGTGATCTGCGCCGGCGTGCGCTGGCTATGAACCTTTGCTCATCAGCCAACGCAGAGTATGGATGCAGTAATTGAGGAGTCATTATTAGTGAAATGATACTACAAGAGACTAAAAAAGGAAAATCTCGCTAACAAAATATAAAAGTTAACTCTGGAAGAACACCCACCAAGTATAAGCGGTTTGTCGTCAAAAATTTTTGGTTTCTGGCCTGCCGGTACTGAGCTTCCATTGCTGGTTGTTGGCTGGAATGGAATTGAACCCTTGACATTGCATTATTCATGGTTATGCCATTATAAAATGTTTTAATTAGCAGCCGAAGCTTCCTCATCAAGAAAGTATAACTATATTCACTTTTTTGATGTAGTTACGCACATTCAATGAGCCTTGAGATCCCTTAAACCGCGGTCGATTGGATGAATAGCAGGTTGTGGTCTGATGAGTTGCTGGGTGTGCGGATCTCGGAGTTTGCAAGAGGAGTTCGACATTTAGCTATGTTTAGGTGGGCCACCAAGATCACTGATTCAAGTTCCTTCGAAAAATCAACGCATTCAGAACTATAGAATTGGGAATCCAAGCGATTGATTGCGAGGTATTTGTTTGAGGGACATCAGAATATTCAGAAGGGAAGAAAATACTCTGAAGACTAGGGGTTCATTTCTTGACTTGCAGTGATCCTGGCTAAATAAAAACAATAAGTTTGTTGTGGCGATTCTCTTTCATGAAATTCCATATTCCTGACCTATTTTTATTTTCTTCACAACTATGAATACGCAGACTCAGTCACACAAGAACCCCAAAAAAGGATCAAGAAATGGTGATACACTACTCCTTGGGCAGAAAATGTTCTTGCTGAAGGAGTAGAGTATCAGCGAATGGAAAAAAGCACACTGGTAGTTGACCTATTCCCTAAAAGATTTTTTTAAAAGAACATGGACAGGGAGCTGTTGGGATCCTTTTTTCTCAGAAAAGTCGTTAAACATGCGTTAGTAGTTCCGATTCTGAAAAAGCCACCGAGTTATGACCCACGCAATTTGAGACCTATAAGTATAACGTCTCTTTTTTGTCGGTTGTTTGAGAAGATTTTGAAGAAGAGGATAGTGCGTCATCTTGAACTCAATCGTGTCCTACCTAGCTGTCAACATGGATTTAGGAAAGGGAAGTCCACGGAGACGGCAATGCTAGAATCGTTAAACGATTGGACTGATGCGCTGGATGCTAAGGATAGCGTTGACGTTATATATCTTGATTTTCAAAAGGCTTTTGATCGAGTTTCTCATGATCTTCTGGTCTTCAAGCTTGCCCATGTAGGTATTCATCCACGGATTGTTGCTTGGATTAAAAACTACCTAGAAAATCGCACCTTCCAAGTTATACTCAATGGCAATCTATCTTTAGTTCGAGATGCTCCCTCTGGCGTCCCCCAAGGTGGGGTTCTATCTCCACTTCTATTTGCTATTTATGTCTATGATTTACCTGCAGTTATTGCGGACGCTGGCGTCAACTGTAAAATGTTTGCTGACGACATCAAAGTATATTCCAGAATTCAAAACGGTGAAAGTTACTTGCGAATGCAATCTGCTTTGCATGCAGTATCGCAATGGTCGCATGATTGGTGCCTCTCTCTCTCCGGATAAAACTTATGTTCTCCATCTTG